TGTTTGTGATTTTTGTCTTTTATTTTAGCTTTAGTGTCATACATCCACTTTTAATGTAACCTAAATAAGGTTTATGTTTGGAGATTTGAATATCCTTTAAGAGCGAACATTGCTGCAGACTTATCATTATACAAATTGTTTTCCTTTTAGATAAATCTATGTTTTGACTTGATTACTCGTTTCTACCATTTTTTTATTTTATTTTTATGTTTTGCAACAGATTTCGTACAGATATTAGAGTATATTTATGCAGCTTTCATTTACACATACACGTATGTATAAACTTACACTTGTGTTATCATCTTCATTTGTTTACTCTTTAGCCTTTTACGATTTTAACACTTCGGTTTTCCATTGAAATTTTCGCTTAAACTTTTCCTTTTATATTTTACTCCATTTCCCAACAGCATCCGTCCGTTCTACATTCTCTACTCCTTTAAATTTGCCGAAAACTGAATTTTCGCATCAAAAATTTTGGATTATAAATCACAGATAGTGTCTAATGTATTTATGTTTTATGTTTTCTGTTTTTTGTTTTTTTTTTCCTTTTTTGTTTTGTTTTTATATTTGTATATATAATAAATATGTTTAGCTTGTATGCACTTGTTTTGTGGTAAATTTGAAATATAATAATAAAATTACATACTCAATAATTACATAAATATATGTATATGTGTATCTGATATATACCTATATTTCAATCAGATCGTGCAGCCTAATGTGGCAACATGTCCGCTAAGGTCAAATACACGACAATTTGTGTTTATACATATATACTCATTTGTGTTGTGTATATGCACTTATGCACTTATGTACATATGTATATTGATTGCTCTTGACCTTGCGTTCGTCATCGCAGTGTGTCCTAGGCAAAAGTAGTCATTGGCGTTTAGAGCGATTCAGTCATTTGTCATTTGTCACATGTCATTTGTCATTTGTCATTTGTATGTTGTGTTTTAATTATATTTTTAATTGAATATACGTACATACATACGTTTAAATCTTGATTGTTTTACATATAAACATTAAAGTTGGCCAAAAGTCATTTAAGCTTATTAGAGTTGGATATAAGATGTATCTTTTCCCACGAAATACATACATATATGTATGTATGGTAGTTTTGAATTTGTGTGTATGTTAATTTTAGTAATATGTGTTTACTCATATGTATGTGTACATAGACTTTTTAGAAAAATTGCCAAAGTCTTCTTTTTTTTTTTTGGTTTACTTAAATATGTCTTTTCTCATATTAATTTTTATTTAAACATTTTATCTAAATATATGCACATTCAAAAGATTTATTTTTTGTTTCTTTAAATACATATTTTTGTTTCATATTTCTAAACATGTGTTTATATATTGGTTGGTATGTACTGTACGCGTATGTATGTATTTATGCATAATTTTCACACAAAATTGTTTTACATTTATTTATTAATTTGTTTTCTTTTTGTAAATTTCCTTTTTTTGCTGAAATATATAGGTATGTATGTATGTATATGTTTGGTTTTAAGTATGTACTCGTATAGTATATAAAAATTGTCTGTGCTCACACTATGTTACACTACACGCGTTTTCCTACGTAGCACACGATTTGTTTTGTTTAGGTACATTTAAGTTTTTTTTATATTAATTACTATTTTGTTTAAAATATACACATAACTTGGGATCTATACACTTTCTACTAGTTTCGATAATGTTGCCTGTAATTTTTGAAAATTAAATGGAGAACATTTACAAATACAGATGAAAGACTTAACTTATAACAAGCTTCAATGGAATGCATTATTATTCGAACGGATTTTCTAAGTTGAAATTTAATTTTGAATCATTCAATTTTAGCTTTTCCTCAAATTGTAACAAACTTAAAAGTATTGGAAGCATTCCATTCTAGCTTTTTTGAAAAGAAAGAAATCAACTTTGCCCTAACACACACTAATTTCTTCACAGATATAAAGACATACAGTTTGCAAGTACAATTTTGATGTCCAAAAGTTTAACCAAAAGACAAAACTTTCTTTTATTTTCAAATAGATAAATATGTGCGTATATACATATTTACTTTAATCGGGCAAAAATTTTGCCCTTTTCCACCTATGCATAATGATGATGTTCCGTTAAATAGTTTTGAGGTATACTCGACATGAAGACACATACATATCATACATATAAGGTTTGAGATACATACATATACATTTGGATATTGTTGATTTTCGCGATTCCGAAAGACTTAATCTTAGTTATACCGTCTAAATACTAATATATGTTATGCGTATATGTGTATAATATTTAATGCCAAAAGTGGATTTTTTGTTTTTCAAATTTGTTTTAATATTTTTTTCTTACGTTACACGGTACACGTTACACGAAACAACAAACATTTAATTTTGCAAACATTGTTTTAATTTAGACTTTCACTTACTTCAGAAATATTTTTTTTATAGGTATATACATAAATATGGAAGTATTACACAATATAAAAATGTATGTATGTATGTATATGCATGTGCTGAAGGTGGATATATTTCTTATTAATTTCAACACCGAATGAGAATTTTGTTTGATTTAATTTTAAAATTTTTCCTGCGCAGATTACTGATTAATCATTTTCTTAAAAAAAAAAAACTATAAATGCAAAGTTTATGTGTGTGTCTGTGGCTTGCGTAAGCTTTTGATTTTTTTATTTAAATATTTTAGACAGAAATTTTGGTTTAGCCTTTTTCCATTTATGCCATTTAATAATATTTTTTTAGTATTCTTATTGTGTAATTTTTTGTTTTTGAATATATTTTTTCTAAGCAATTTTAGCGTTTTAATTCTTTAATATTCCCTTTTGCATAATTTTGTGTTTTTTTTTGTTTCTATAACTTTTTGATCTTTTTTGTAAATGTGAAGGCAGCTTTGTTTATTGATTTCCGTCTTGAGGATTTCTGAAATGTTCTAATCAATATTTCATTTTCATATTTTTAACGATAATTGCTTTAATCATTTTCGTAATTAAAATGTTGAATTTTACAAAAAAAAAAAAAAAATAAAAAATAAATAAATGAAATGCGACTTTTAGAGCGATAGCTTCTTTCGTTCGTGCACATCATTTTAGATAGCAATTTTTTCTTGTTCTCGCTTTTATCGGCGCAACGAAAGAAACGACGCCTGTACAGTCTCATTCGTCTATTGGGTACTTGGGTTGATTTAGTGTTTATGCTTTCATAATTTTGTTTGCGTATATAGTCTATTGTTATTGTTGTTGTGGAGCTTCTGTTGCTGGTTTTAACTGCGATTCTGATCTGTATTGTACCGGACTATTTTGTTGTTGTGTTGCTTTGTGGCTGTTCTGTTTGTTGTTGTAAGTAATTATGTAACTATTGCAAGTAATATTTGCTCCAAAACACATGAAATTCGGAAGAGGTCAATCATATGACCCGGAGAGCAAGTTCTTGGTGAATACAACATTTATATGCAGCGAATGTTCGATCTCGGAATCTGGCTGGTGAAATGTTGCTTGGAAATCCTAAAACTTTCTTTCACAATGTGTTTTGGAGCCATATTATGGTTTGTTTATTCCTTGTTTGTTATTCTTGTTGTATGTAATCGTACTGCTTTTATTTCTTATTATAATTTCTTTATGGGTCATTATTGCTGTTGCTCTTGCTGTTGCTGCTGATGCTGCTGTGTGGTTGTTGTTGTTTCTCTATTAAGTACTATTACGGTTATTGCTGCAATTTGCTAGTTTTCACTGTCTGATTTGCTGGTTGTTGTATTGGCTGGTTGATATTGTTGTAGTTGTAGTTGTTGGTTGATCGTTGGTTATTTCTTTTATATTGTATTTATGATTATTGTTTGGTTACTTTTATTAACTGAATAAAACAAAATATATATGGAGACTCAGTTGTTTTGTATTACATACTAATTTTATGTATATAAAAAATACTTTGAAAATCGAAGCAAACTGAAATTCGTAGTTTTTTGTTGCAAACCCTTTTAACGGTTTTACCTTTTATTGTAATCATGAAGTTTTATCAGTATGTAAGGATATAAGAGGACTAACAAATGCTTTTAAATTTGAAATTCTTGCCGATAATTTCTTCAAATTCCAGGAACGAAGTGAAAACAAGAAAGTAGCAGCTGAGTCGACTTGCTGTTTTTTTTTAATATTTCAATAAATTCAATGAAATTTGCAAGAGGGACAGACAGTGCGGGACTCATTTCGGATTGGGTGCTTAAGGAAACATAATATTGAAAATCGCTTTGGGGAATGGTACTGTAAGGTTAGGGATTGCATCAATTTCGACATGTAGAAAGATGAAGAAGGATTAAGTAGGATAATTAATACCAAAGAAATTTTTGCATCAAGTCTTTGTTAGTCCTCTATTATATATTAGGGTTGCCCATAAGACGATATTTTAAAACATAATAACTCTGTTTCTAAGAAATAATCATAGAAAATGAATAAATCTTATATGAAAGATTAATATTATAAAACTTGTACGAAAATTTCATTGCAAACTATTTTTTTTTTAAATTTTCGAACACTCAAATTATTTGGAACACCCTAATATTCCAACACAATTATATTCATTTTCTGTTTATTTTTTAATTCATTTTTGTTTAGCGTTTTTTTTATGTTTTCATTTTGAGTTTTGATTTTTGTATTTAAATTATTTCTTTTGTTTTTAATAAAAATTTCAAGTTTATTTACTTGTTTGTATGTATGTATATATAGTTAGATGCATTTGTTAGTTTGTTTGTACAAGGAGAGCCTATTTGTCGATTGTCAGAAAACGAAACAGAAAACTTCAGTAGCTTTTATTTTATTTTGTTAATTGGTTTGTTATTGTTGTTTTTAACATATGTAGGTGCTTTCCCTTTTATGTTATTGTTGTTGGTTTTGCTCTTTTTTGTTTTTATTACTATTAAATTACTTATTTGTTGTTTGATTGTATAATTATTTAGTTGTTATTGTTACCCACGTATTTACGTTTTGTTTTTTTTTTATATTTATTAATTTTTTTCATTAAATTTTTTGCTCTAACTTTTTATGTGATTTCTTTTTCTTTCATTTACTATTTATTTTGTTACATATGTCATTCCTCTTAACTGTTATTTGCTGCAGTTTGTTTTTGTTGTTTTTTTTTGTTGGTTTTCCACTTCATCTTGCCTACGCTTCACTTTGATTTGTTGTTTTTAATTTCTAATATTTATAATAAATACATACATGCGTTTTCTGGTTAAATGCACACATCAATATGTATTACAGATATCGTATATATGTATGTATGTGTTAATTAAAATTTGTTGTTTATTTATTCAAATGTTCATAAACATGCCGTCGGATGTCGTCGTTCTTCTTCTTCCTCTTTATTATTATTGTTTTGTGTGTGTATGTGTGTATGCCTATCTTCTATATATATATATTATATATATATATCTATATATATATATATATTACCATATTATATACTATTTGTTTGTATATACTAATTGAATGTATATGTGTCTGTTTGCATGTGTGTGTTTCCATGTAAGAAGTACACTAAGAGCTTAATTAGATTCCCTCACTTAAATTTTGACTAAAACATTTCTTATGAATCGATTACCGATAACCGATAACCGACAATCAATCGGCGACATTTGATCGCAGATCATTTATATCGCCTTCCTTTGCCCAACAGCTTTATTGTTTTTTTTTTGTTTGTTTGTATAGCGTTCCATGCCTGCAGGTCCACTTTGTCCTGTTGCGCCTTTAGATTTGCCCTTTCATATGATGGATTCCATTTCCATCGGCTGAGCCCAAAGCTCCTCTTCGCCGCATTTGCTAATACTCGCCTCTCTCTGCCACGTCGTATTGCCAGCTTATTCACCCCTATAAATTCTCCTCATTTTCTTGCTCTGCTTTGATTTGCGCCAACTTCTCTTGGAGTATTGATGTGCCGCCCAGCGTAGGTGCCGTATGTGCCAATTCAATCAGTGGTTCCGCTTTCGGCACCATGCCACTCATACCCACAGCCGCGCTACTGCCATTGCCATTGAGATCGATCACGGATTTGTTGGCACTCGTGTGATTCGACATGAGTTCGCTGGGTATGCTGTTGGTGTCGGTTTCAGCGGAGTCGTGTGAGGTTAGACGACTGCGGCTTCGACTGCGCTGTTGGTGGTGTAAGTGCTGGTGTTGATGTGAATGCGGCTGCAGCTGTAGCTCGTGATTGCCGCTGTAACTACTCTTGTTATTGTTGTTGTTATTGTGCTCATAACTACTTTCCTCGTTGCCGCTGCGTGAGGCGTCGTCATCGTCGTCGTCGTCGCCACTGCTTTGTTGCGGACTGCCACGTTCGCGTTTGATCTCCGTGTAGTTCAGTGGACTGCCGGGACGCTTAGCACGCAAGCTGTTCATCACCGCGGCTGACATGTGATGGTCGCCACTGCCGGTGTTGTTGCTCACGTATGGTGGCAGCGTACTTTTCTTTACCAACAGCTGATCAAGCAACGCGCCACCGGGGCTGGCGCTGGCGGGCGGGCAAACATCGGTGCTTTTGCGATCGAGTGTTTTTCGTATGATGCCGTCGAGTATTGAGGAACCATTGGCGCCACCGCTTTCGTACAAATTTTCGGCAAGTTCGCGCGCGCTCTTCATATTGAGTGTGTGACCGGCCACAGCAGACAGCGGACTGGCGATAGGACTGGGGCTGTTGGCATTTGACGGTGTGCCCGCCGAACCGCCGCCACTGCCACGAAGAGCTTCCTCAGTGTAGCGCTGGGCCGCATTGACAGCACTGGCACTTTGGGCTGCTACTGCATTCCGGTTGAGTTCCATTTGCATTTGACTGAAGGCCACCGCCGGCGAATGATTCCAAAAGAGGTGTGCCGGGTATTGGATGGGATCGAAGATGGGCAATTTCATGCCGTTCGGAGCGGCAGCGGGAAATGCAGCAGATGCTGAGTTGTTACTGCCTTTAAGTGTTTCGCTGAGTTTAGAGTTGGAGCCACTGCCGCCGGCGCCACCTAATTTCATTTTATTTAGATTATTGTGATGCCCGGGAATGTTAGAGTTGGTTTTGCTCGAAGTTGAGCTGCCATCTAGACCGGGTTGTGGTTTAGGTTCACGCTTGCGTGGTCGCATGAGATGTCGCTCTTTAACTTTGTACTCGAGTGTGGAGTGTGGCACACCAAAGTAGCTGCCCGCCCGATGAACTGACATCTCACCACGCTGTACCGCACGCACCGCCTCAATCAAACTATCTCGGTCATAGTTGCGGTACTTACCACGCTTGGGTCGTGTGCCTTTGCCGGCGGCTAGTGCTGCTGCTTCTTGACGACTAAGGTGATGTGCAAGGTGGTGATGGGTACTATGCATATGCGCTTGATGATGATAGCCGTGGGAGTTATGCGAACTTGCACTGCCGCCAGGCACGCCAGCACCAGCGGAACCATCCAGCACATTAGGGGCGGCGCCAAAACGGGTTGTGTCGGTTCCACCAATATTCTTTACCACCGATATGGTTGGCTTTTTGTGATCCGTGCCACCAACGCTGTTGTTATTAGTTGGACGCTCCATATCCAGACACAAGCCCAACATGGGTGCTGAAGCTGCAGCCACAGCAGCTGCCGCCGCATGCGCCTCCTGGTTGGCTTGCTCATTCATGGTGCGGTGTATACCACGCGCGATTACATCACGAAAGCTGAACGACGGTGGTGATTGGCGGTGTTGCATTAAGGGTGGCGAGATGACTGCAAGATCATTGCTCTGCCGACCGACGGAGGAGGAGGTGCCATTGTTGCTCGCGGCCGCCACAGCAGCAGCCAACATTGAGTTGGCGATGCGTGGTGAGGGTGCGGAATGCGGACTATCGCCATTGGGATTTGGCATTGAGTTGGCGGTGGAATTGTTGCATAGCAAAGACGGTGAGCACGAGGCGCGTGCTGAACCCGATGTGGGAGTGGGTGTGCCTGCCACTGGTTTGTAGGACGGAATCTTGAGAATCGACGCAGCAAGTTCGTCAGCCATCGGCTCATGGTTGTCCATAGAACTAGTTGTCTCTGGCGTGTCTGATTTAGGCAAGCGTTGCGTCGTATACGCAGACGTCTGTTGCTGCAACTTTTGTGCCAACAGCGGCTGATCCAAGATGTTAGGTTTACCATTATTGAAAAGCCCTGCTACATTCAAATCACCCGCGGTATCCAGCATATCCTTCAAATTATCCACCAGATCACGCAATGTAATTGGCTGATCTGCACGCTGCTGCAAAGCTCCAAAACTGGTGAGTGTAAAAAGGAATGCCTGCAAAATCGCAAATGTAGTGTCCAACCCAGTGGCGGGTGGTGATTGCTGTGGCTGCGGCGTAGCGCTGCTTGAGGGGGTGCCTGCGTCACATAACGCGCTGCCCTTTGGTGATAAGTCCGTGCAGTTTGAGGCATCATTAGCGCCATCGCGACGTGCCAAATCACTGCCTGCGCCGTTATTTACACAAAATTTTCGTAGGGAATGCGTCGCACTGAGACGAGCAGCGAGCTCTTCCAGCGCAGAGGGCACGGCGGGTTCTGGTTGTGGCGTGGAGGCATTACTACCATGACCGCCTCCTGTTGCGCCATCTCCTGTACTCATGTATTCATCACCAGACAGGTCCTTGTCCACATCCACGCCCTGCAAGAGCGCGCTCGCCAGGTGGGCATTGCTGCGCTTGCTGCCACTCATCATGGGTCGACTCGATCTCACGCGTGCGGGACTCACACTTGAATTGTTGGTGTATTGATCTGGCTGTTTTCGTGCACTATATTTGCCACTGAGTATGTCCTGTACCACGCTGCTAAGAGCATCATCGGTGTAGGGGCGGCGTGAAGAGATTACGGGCGTCGTACGCATCGTTTTGGTACTGGAACGAAAGAAAGAAGATGTTGCCTTTATTTTAAAAGATTTGATAAAGTGAATCGCAATGTTGAACAAAAATTGTATTTTTAATATCCAAAAAATGATACCCTCGCTTCCGGGCGCTTAAATGTTGTCCTTCAGATGCTATTTATCTCAGAATTAAAAAAAAGGTACTTCCATGAATTTTTGCGGTGGACCTTACGCCTGCAAATTCAATTCTCAACTACTTCGTATATTTATGATTTTATTCGTGCTGCTTTTCAGCTGAATTGAATGAATTTTTAAAATTATAATTATTTATTGCTTTATGAAAGTTGCAGCAATTTCAATTTGTTGCAAATATTTATCAATATATGACGAATAAAATGCAAAAACAGTAATAAACAAAAACAAAAAATGAATAATATTTCAATACACCAAAAATTGGCACACTGAACCTTCTCATTGTCATTATGTACACTTATCAGCTATCAGCAGGGCGATGAAACGCCGTAAGAGCAGCAACAAAAACCGACAACAAAAACATAAACATAAAAGAAAAATTGAGAAAACGGAAAATAAATTTCGTAACTTAATTTTTAAATGCACGCATGAATATTAGGGTGGTCGTAAAAAATACAAACCAATTAGGGAAGCCCCAAAAGGTAAAAATGATTTAAAAATATACACAAAATCTTTCTTTTGTTTATATGTGGTAGCATATGTATATTGTTAGGTTATGTGCAAATGTCTGAACTAAACGTGGGGTACATCCATACATACATACGACCCGGCTGCACTGGTGCACTGTTTATTGTGTCTCTAATGTGAAGGACAATGCTGTCCTTTTCACATATCGAAGTAGTCATTTTGGCCCTTTGTCCATAGCTTTGTCTGCCGAGTACTGAACATACAGATTACTTGCGCCAATGTCCCCACACACTCCCTAAATTTCCTACACTTCCTGTTCTATGTTTTATGGGTGCTTTTAAAATTTTTAAGTTTATACTTTATACTAAAAATATAGTTACTTATATAAAGGCTCCAAAAAGGGTTGAGAAAATTATCACAAAAGAACTAAAGAAAAAATTTGTAGATTTTTTTATTTTTCTTTTAAGAATAAATAGTAAATCTTCATATGTACGCAGAACATACTGAACAGTCTAATGTATACACATATATGTATATATATACGCTGCAAAACAACAATTGATAACGGTACCAATCACATTTGTAGATATTTGGAAATAAATGTATAAATTTAGCTCAATCGGCTGGTGGGTTGGTTGGTCGGCAGGGCGGGCGAGCTAAGAACGGAAGTGTAATTGCACGCTTTGACGAGAAGCGTTACGTAAGTCGGTGATTAAAACGAAAGCGACACGTAATTAATGCATTTTTCAACATTACATACAAATATTGCAATATGCCTATTTTCATAAATTTTATGAAATATAGCTTATGCAACAACAACGATCGATAATCTTATCGGATACTGATATAAAGGTTTTTGCTTAAGAATAAATCAAATGAAAAAATAAAAAAAAGAAATAAAAAATAAAAATAAATCGTTTGATATGTACATATATATGACTATACATAGTAAAGTATGTATGTACATATGTGCTCGTATGTAGGTTTGTACATATTTGTGGTTGTGTATGCAAATGTTTGCTAACACTTGAGCAATTATTGTTCAAAACTGATGTTCGAAACAATTTGATATTAAATTTTTATTTGTATGTAAATCTGTTGTGAAATTCGTTGAATTCTTCCGCTTGGTACATTTTCCTTTTGATTTTAAAAGTAAAAGTTACATACTTACTAAAACTAAACTTTTTTTTGAGATTTTTTACATGATCCGAATAAATCGCTAAGTTCGTATCTTTGACCGAGGTTTTTGCAACCAAGCTTTCTCTGCCAACCCAAGTCAGGACTAACCTGCGTATCTAGTAAGAATAAGACTAGAAGAAGTTGTACCGAATCAATTCAAAAACAATTTTCTTTAATCCTCTTCCAATTACTCCACACCACCAATATATTTATTCGCAGAAATACTTGGACCAAACATAGATTTCTTCTTCTTCTTCCACTTAAACTGTAGGTGTGACTTCGTTGTTTCAACAATTTGCCAGCAAACAAATTAATTGACAATATTTAGCATGAAATTTGCATGCAACTAAATTAATTACGCTAATATTTGTTAAGCGAAAATGAAAATAATGACAGCTGTCCCCAAGGGGTCCGACGACATCAACCGGCTGTCTACTCCACCACCACTTGAATGCCCTGAGCGACCATCTTGTCTTCTGCCGTCTTCTTTCTGGCAGCGGCGCACTCAAGTCAAGTTCAGATAAGCAGTCAGGACCCCGACACCACCGCACCGGCAATAGCCACCAGCAAGCGGCGCTTGCAACAATTTGTCTGCTTTTGTGCCTTCCACTTTGTGTCTGCTGCCTTTGCTGCTCTTTAAAGACAAACGACCAACGTTCAGTAAAAATAATACCCAACCCCACAAGAGCTAGCTCTCGCACCCAGATACACATCCTCATTTCGGCAACGAGACAATGATGTGGTGACATGCCCAACACCCGTGTTCCTTTTGGCTCGTACCAGGGCCGCTTGCCTCAAATTAATTTTTGCGAGGACACAATCAAAAAGCTCTTCACAAAAAAATCTGACGTTGCAAATTTGGTTTTTCGAGCGTTTATTATTATACTCCTTCGCGCGTGCATGTATGAGTGTGTGTGTGTGTGTTGGTCGCTTGGTTGGTAGCTGCATTCACATAGACTTGGTGCAGTGTTGTAGCATCAAAACTGCACGTTTCGTGTCGTAGGGTAAGTCGGAAGTGTACTATAATGAGGGTAAGGGGCAAGCAGAGCCGTTGTGAGGACGAATGTGGTTTTGGAGCACTTGCAGCGTAGTGTGGCAGCACAACGCTCTTCACACTGCGCACCAGACAGAAATGAGTGCATCATATCGATCGCTTTTTTTCCTCTTTTGCATTTTTTCTTTCTATGCAGCTCTACCGCAACACAACACACACACACTTATTTCGTGCATTCGCGCTTGTCAGGTTTAAATTCGTTTACTTGCTCGTTCGTTCATTCGCTCGTTCGTCGGTTCGTTTCATTTTGGTGGCAGTTATCGCCCGTCCCCAAGCCCTCCTCATCCAACTGGCTCAGCCTTCGTGCTGCACATACTTATTTACTGCTATTTTAATGTCGAGTTTTTTTCACCGTTTTTTACGTAATTTTCATTTCGACTTCGTTTACGAAAAATTGTGCAAAAACCAGTCAGCCTCGCCCCCTCTCCCGGCCCGCTCATCTAGGCCTCATAGCCGAAACGCAATGGATTTTTATTTCGTTTTTTCCACATTTTTTGTCATTTGAATGAGGACAACTGTTGTTGGGAGGCGGCAAATGTCTACCGTGGCGCAGGACGGCTGGTGTTGGTGGTAGTAGGTGGCTAACATGGCGTATGAGTGATGCATTTTTAGCGGGATGGAATGTTGCGTGCATTGTAGGGGTGTGTGTATGTGTGTGCTTTTGAATTATATATGCTGTAGGAGACGGCCTGGTAGGAAGAGGAAGCTGGGTGGGGCGCGGCAGGACGGCGGTACGGACAGACACAGTTGCGTATTTGAGCGTTGCGTGTGAGCGAATGCACTTATGCAGCCGCAGTCGGCCGACATACACCGACACGCCGCGCAAAGTGGCCCAAAATGAGCGAGATGGAAAAACGTACAAAAAATGAAAAACCGCCCGCTTTTGGCGCGTAAATACACGAAAAACTGCATATCTGGCCAAATTAAGGCGAAATGGCGACATACACGCACCGAACGCACACACCGTGCACGCAATTGTTGTAGTGTGCCTGCAAAGCAATGCATGGCGAATACAAATACTTTCACGCACACACACACATATATATTCATGCGCTTTTTAACAAAAATTGCAGTCCTTGCGGTGCTGGAAAAAATGTGCAATGGGATATGCAATCAGACGTACGCACGCAATGGATTTTATTGGTGAAAAATGATATTAAAAAATATTGTCTGCTATTGTTGCTAGTGGAAGAGACGGGAAATAATGCAGAATTATGCGGAAATTAAATAAAAAATTATGAAGCTTTGAATATTGAAAAACGAAGTTTATTTAAACAAAACTGAGGCATGGGAATTGCATAACTGGCTTGGAATCATACTTATCACAAAAGGTTTTTTGTATTCCATGAAAACTTTAAAACTCTTTTCTTTGGAAAAATGAACAGAGGCTATTGCTCCCGAATCCACTTTCATCTGTGTTACCGAATACAATCTTTATCTAAGGGAAAGATGCGAAAAATCAAATTGGAGACTTAAATTTGTCTCGCTGATCTGAAGGCTAAAATAATTATTAACCGCCTGCTGTGGAGGTCACATACAAGGAATCCGAGAGAATAAGTACACTGCTGATAAAAGAGAAAACAACATTGAAGTACTCAATTAATAATATTTATTATACCATATAAATGGAAGAAGAGTCATCCCACTGCAGAGAGCTGAAATCTTATCAACATGGATAACTAATATCACCCGAACTGCAAACTTATGCTGAAACTAGCATTAACAAAAAAACTCAATACCAGATGGCTTAACGAAAGAAGTTGTAGCGTGATTAGACAGCTTTGGTCTGTGTTGGACAAAAAAGATCAAGCAATGGAGTATGCCTCTCCTTGTTCATAGTGAAACATTTTTGCTTCTTGTTAAGAAACATAATGACTTGATTTGTAAGCGGCACCAGCAGACAATCGATTCAGACATAATCCTTCCAGGCATGCCAGAAACATTCACCGAGTGTTCGGAAGAACCTTCAATGACTGCGTACTTAGGAATAATTGTTAATTGGTGTTCAGGCTCTTTCTTGGAGACGCCAAACAAGGGTTTCAAGGATGAGGCTCTTTCTTCGTGCATTTAAATAAAAACATGTGAAAAATAATTTACTTTTTTAGTTTTGCTTTTGGGAGAGTTCATTCTCCTCCCGTTTG